ATTGACACATTGTCATGCAGTCCTTGTAAGGGGTGGGGAAGGTGTGTGTCTCTTGTTGAATATCTTATACTGTTGGTTTTTGTGTTCTTTAGCTTTTGTGTCATGCAGGAGGTGGGGATGTGGGAGGGTGTCTGAAATGATGGAAATAGCCATATTTTGACTTTAGGGAAAGTAGCAGGGTTTGTTCAATAAGGGGTTCATGGTTGGTTTAACCCATGTTAGGGTGAGATGAAGAGTGAGAGAAGTTGAATCATTAAAATGGGGGAAAGGTTGAGGGTAAGTCTAACCCATGTTAGGGTGAGATGAAGAGTGAGAGAAGTTGAATCATTAAAATGGGGGAAAGGTTGAGGGTAAGTCTAACCCATGTTAGGGTGAGATGAAGAGTGAGAGAAGTTGAATCATTAAAATGGGGGAAAGGTTGAGGGTAAGTCTAACCCATGTTAGGGTGAGATGAAGAGTGAGAGAAGTTGAATCATTAAAATGGGGGAAAGGTTGAGGGTAAGTCTAACCCATGTTAGGGTGAGATGAAGAGTGAGAGAAGTTGAATCATTAAAATGGGGGAAAGGTTGAGGGTAAGTCTAACCCATGTTAGGGTGAGATGAAGAGTGAGATGCTTCGGGGTTTTCCTGTTTCCGGGGGGTTTTCAGGAGTATAGATAACCTTAGGAGTTTGGGGGGTGGGGGGGGTTTTGCGCGCAAAAAGGGGGTGATCTAAGGGATCTTTGGATTAACAAGACCACCCTTATGCACTTGATATCTTTTAATGTTATTCTTTAGATAAAGATTAATTACATTGAGACTATTTACTTGCACGCAAGGAAATGTTCCACCTTGAATATTTCTATCGGCTAGATGCACTCTGAAATGCCAGATGAAAAGGAAAAAAAAAAGAGAACCCCTTACCCGCTGGAGTGAACGCCCGGCTTGCTGGGTAACGAGTCGTATGTAATACCAACATTAACTTATGTAAGTGTCGATGAAAGTGTGAGGAATAATATCAGGTCATGGCCCTGAAGTAGGAACCAAATGCCAGGAATAGTTCACTATGTGAAACCCCCACAATTTTTGTCCCTCACCTTCAATAACCGTTGGCATTAAGTAATCAACTGATGGTAGGCTCTTACTGCATGGGAATTTGGGATCGACAGAAGTTTGAGTCTTGGTATAACTTGACATATGAAGGTTGTGTTCGGTGTAAAGTTTCGACTAGTCTTTAATTCTTTATTGTATACCTTATAGGTTTGGTTTTTGTATATATTTAGTTATATAGCTGGTATATGAATGTTTGACACCATGTTTTGTTCACATCCATTTGTGTCTTGTACATCGGACTTAATGTTTACTATAAATATATGGTGTAATTACATATATGTATATTAATTTTCATAAAACATATGTTCCCAGAAAATAGTTTAACGCTAGAATCCTAGCTTTGGGAGTTAGGGGTAGGAGTTGAAATCTCCTTTTTCTGAGCAACAGGAGGGATTTTAACCCTCGACAGCCAGTTTACAAGACTGGCGCTCTAACACTGAGCTACTAATGCACTGTCATCCGAGAATCTTATTTTCTAGTCAGCCTGTTACTGGAATTATGACTAAGAAAAGGAAGAAGTAGAGGAATGAAGCAACTTGTCCAATAATAACAAAAGGGTGTTCTACGGGCATTCCCCCGATTCATGTGAGAATTATTACGTCTGCTACGAGGGATCAAAATAGGAATTGCGAAAAGGGTCGGAATATTAGACTTCGTTGTTTTGATGTGTGGAGGATGGGGACAAGCATGAGGATTAAAATAGAGAACAACAGGGCGAGTACTCCGCCAAGTTTATTTGGAATAGATCGGAGAATGGCGTATGCAAAGAGGAAATATCACTCGGGCTTGATATGGGGCGGTGTAACAAGTGGGTTTGCGGGGGTGAAATTATCTGGGTCGCCCAGAAGGTTTGGGGAGAATAAAGCGAGGGCAGCTAGGGCAATGAGGAGGGCTGCAAATCCCAGGAGGTCTTTATATGAGAAGTATGGGTGGAAGGGGACTTTGTCTGAGTCTGAATTCAATCCAGTGGGGTTGTTGGAGCCAGTTTCGTGTAGGAAAATAAGGTGGATTACGGTTGCGGCTGCGATGACAAATGGGAATAGGAAGTGGAATGCAAAGAACCGGGTGAGTGTGGCATTATCTACAGAAAATCCGCCTCAGATCCATTGTACTAGGGTGTTACCGACATAAGGTACGGCTGAGAGTAGGTTGGTGATGACAGTGGCACCCCAGAATGATATTTGTCCTCAGGGAAGGACGTAACCAACAAAGGCGGTCATCATTACGAGAAGCAGCAGGATGACGCCAACATTTCATGTTTCTTTATACAGAAAAGAGCCGTAGTATAGACCTCGGCCGATGTGGAGGTAAATGCAGATAAAGAAGAATGATGCGCCGTTAGCGTGGATGTTTCGGATTAATCAACCGTAGTTTACGTCCCGGCAGATGTGGGCCACGGAAGTGAAGGCAGTTGCGATGTCTGAGGTGTAGTGTATGGCTAAGAATAGGCCGGTTAAAATCTGGGTGATTAAACATAGTCCTAAGAGGGACCCAAAGTTTCATCAGACAGAGATATTAGAGGGGGCTGGTAAATCGACTAATGCATCATTTGCGATTTTTAAAAGGGGGTGTGATTTTCGTAGGCTGGCCATTAGGGTTTTTGTAGTTGAATGACAACGACGGTTTTTCAAGCCGTGAGTCCTGGTTAAAGTCCTGGCAGAAACTATGACTTTTGTGATATGCCTAGTATTGTTTTGCCTTGTTTTAGGGTTAGTAGCGGTTGCTTCGAACCCATCACCTTATTTTGCTGCTTTAGGGCTGGTTGTTGTTGCTGGTATGGGGTGTGGGGTACTGATCGGTCATGGTGGGCCCTTTCTGTCGTTAGTACTATTTTTAATTTACTTGGGGGGGATGTTGGTTGTGTTTGCGTATTCGGCGGCGTTGGCTGCTGAACCTTACCCAGAAACTTGGGGGAGTCGGCCAGTAATAGTTTACAGTGCTAGTTACATGGTGGGGGTGGTGCTAGTCTCTGTATTGTTCTGAGGGGGGTGATATGAGTCTTCATGGGTGTTAGTGGATGAGTTGGGTGAGTTTTCGGTGTTTCGGGGTGATATTGGAGGAGTTGCTTTAATATACTCGTCAGGGGGTTGAATGTTGCTTATTAGTGCGTGGGTACTTTTATTGACACTATTTGTGGTGCTCGAGTTGACTCGTGGGATGAGTCGAGGGGCGCTTCGGGCAGTTTAAATAGTAAAAATAAGAATTATTAGGGCAAGAGAGAGGACGAATGAAAGGAGGAATGTTTTGATCATTCCCTTTTGAATGTTGCTTGTGGCGGAGGCCAGGGGGATATTGGATGATGAGATTGCTTTGGGTCCTGTCTTCTCTAGTCAGGTTTGGTCGACTATTTGGCTGGCAATAGACTGACCTAGGAGTAGGCCGAGTTTTGGGGCTAGGCGGTGTAGAATGTGGGGGTAAAAGCCTAGTATTAGGGAGAAGTGGTGGGGGTTGCGATAGGGTGCTGGTTGAGATGGCTTGTTTACAATTGCGACAATTGCTATAGCGACGAGAAGGCCTGAGATTGTGACTGCAAGGGCAGCTAGTTTGAGGGCTGGAGGTATGCTTATAACCGGGGTTTTTAATGGGGAGATGTTGGAGAAAATGAGGAGTCCTGCAATAATGCTTCCTCAGGCGAGTCGCTTGATTGGGTTAATAAGTGCTGGGTTGTTTTCATTAATAGGGGTGATGGGTGTGAATCGGGGTTGACCCATCGAGACGTAGAATACCAGTCGAAAGCTGTAAGCTGCTGTAAAAGACGTGGCTAGGAGGGTGAGAGCGAGGGCTCAGGCGTTTAGGTGGGATGTGTTTATTGCTTCAATAATTGCATCTTTGGAGAAGAAGCCGGCTAGGAAAGGGGTTCCCGTGAGGGCGAGGCTGCCAATAGTTAAGCAAGAAGATGTGAAGGGGGTGAGGTGATGTATTCCCCCTATTTTCCGGATGTCTTGTTCGTCGTTTAGGCTGTGAATAATAGACCCAGAGCATAAGAATAGCATGGCTTTGAAGAAGGCGTGTGTGCAGATGTGGAGGAATGCAAGTTGTGGTTGGTTTAGTCCAATAGTAACTATTATTAGTCCTAATTGGCTAGATGTGGAGAATGCAATAATCTTCTTGATATCGTTCTGGGTAAGAGCACAAGTTGCGGTAAATAATGTTGTGAGGGCTCCGAGGCATAGACAGGTTGTAAGGGCTATGGGGTTGTTTTCCAGGAGCGGGCTCATTCGGACTAGTAGGAAAATTCCTGCGACAACTATCGTGCTTGAGTGAAGTAGGGCGGATACCGGTGTCGGGCCTTCTATTGCGGCGGGTAGTCAGGGGTGAAGTCCAAACTGGGCTGATTTACCAGTTGCTGCGACGATAAGGCCTAGAAGTGGGAAAGATAGGTCTATGTTCTTAGAGGCTGCAAATAGTTGTTCTAAGTCCCAGGAGTTTAGGTTGAGTGCTATTCATGCTATGGCGAAGATAAGGCCGATATCTCCAACCCGGTTGTAGATTACGGCTTGCAGTGCCGCGGCGTTAGCATCTGCTCGGCCATACCATCAGCCGATAAGAAGGAAGGATATAATACCGACACCTTCTCAGCCGATGAATAGTTGAAACATGTTGTTTGCGGTGACTAGAATAATTATCGCGATGAGAAATGTTAGTAAGTATTTAAAAAAACGGTTTATTTGTGGGTCTGCGTGCATGTATCAAGAGGCAAATTCTAGAATTGACCAGGTTACGTAAAGGGCAATGGGGACGAAGATGATTGAGTAGAAGTCAAGTTTTAGGCCGATATTAATGCTAAATGAGTTAGTATTTATTCAGGTTCAGATAGTAATGATTGTTTCTGAGCCTTCGTGGAGGTAGAGAGCTAACGGGAGGAGGCTTACAAAGAAAGCTATTTTTACAGCTATTGTCACGTGTGAGTTGGCCCATTGGAGTTTTCGAGGAGAAGGAAGGAGAGATGTGGCTAGCGGGAAAGTGAGGAGTGTAAACACGATGGCGAGACTGGAGGACATAATCAACATGTTTGGAGACATAGCTGCTACTTGGATTTGCACCAAGAGTTTTTGGTTCCTAAGACCAACGGATGAGCTGTTATCCTTTAGGAGCGGGTACGAGTGAGCCCAGGAGTCCAACCAAGGTCATGAAAATTAGCAGTTTCCATTGCTGCCAGCCTCTCTCGGTGGGCAAGAGGGCTTCAACCTCTGTTTTTAGAATCACAATCTAATGTTTTATTTAAACTATGCCTACAGGCTGTTCAGCCTCAAATTAGCTCGGGTTTAAGCACTAGGAGAATGAGAGGGAGTAGGTGCAAGGCAATGAGCAGGTGTTCTCGGGTGTGAGATGGTTCGAGTGCAAGAATGTGTGTTGGGAGCGGGCCTCGTTGGGTTATAAGGAATATATAGAGTGAATAGCCAGCTGTGATCAGGGTGCCGGTTCCTGTGAGTGCCAGGGTTCATCAGGATCAGTTAAATAGGGAGATAATAATTATAAGTTCACCCATAAGGTTAGGAAGAGGTGGAAGTGCTAGGTTGGCTAAGCTGGCAATAAATCACCAGGTTGCCATAAGGGGGAGGGCCATTTGAAGTCCTCGTGCCAGTACCATGGTCCGGCTGTGTGTTCGCTCGTAGTTTGTGTTAGCCAAACAAAAGAGAGCTGAGGAGGTTAGACCGTGGGCGATTATCAGGATTAGGGACCCTGTGAGGCCTCAGGGTGATTGGATTAGAACCCCCCCAGCTACCAGGCCTATGTGGCTGACGGATGAGTAGGCAATTAGGGATTTAAGGTCAGTTTGTCGTAGACAAATCGAGCCAGTTATTACTACACCTCAGAGTGCGAAGATGATGAAGGGGTAGCTTAGTTCCTTAGTTAGTGGCTCTAGCATTGTTATCATTCGGATTATGCCGTAACCGCCAAGCTTAAGAAGGACAGCTGCAAGAATTATTGAGCCTGCAATGGGGGCTTCGACGTGTGCCTTGGGAAGTCATAAATGGACACCATAGAGAGGTATTTTAACTAGGAAGGCCAGGAGGCAGCCCGCTCATCAAAGTTTGTCTCCATAGGATGTTATATGAGTTGGGTCGGTGTAATGGAGGGTGAGGAGTGAGAGGGTCCCGGCGGAATTTTGAAGCAATAGTAGGGCGACGAGCAGGGGGAGTGACCCTGCCAGGGTGTAGAATAGGAAGTAGGTACCTGCGTTAAGACGTTCTGTTTGGTTACCTCAGCGTGTGATAATAATGAGCGTGGGGATAAGAGTGGCTTCGAACATCACGTAAAACATGATAATTTCGGTTGCGCCGAATGCGAGGATTAAGAAGAATTGAAGTGAGGTAAGGAGGGTAATATACATGCGCTGGCGGTTGATGGGTTCTGAGGCCGTGTGGTTTTGACTTGCCAAAATTATCAGGGGGAGTAATCAGCATGTGAGGACAAGAAGGGGTGTTGATAGGGCATCTGTTGCTATACAGAGGTTTAGTGAAGATCAGCCAGTTTCTGAAAGGTTCTTAAGTCATGAGAGACTAGCTAGGGAGATGCAGAAACTATGAGTTAAGGTAGTTGGTCAGAGTCAGTTTGGTTTGACCAGCCAGGCTGTTGGGATAAGTATAAGTGTTGGAATTAAGATTTTTAGCATTGTAGTAAGTTCAGGCTTTGAAGTCGGTCGGTACCATGTGTTCGAGCGGTAGCTACTAGGAGGGCCAGACCTGCACTTGCTTCACAGGCCGAAAATGCTAGGAGAAGTATTGGGGAAGCTGAGAAGTTGGTTGAGTCTAGTTGAAGTGTCCAAAGGGAGAGGGCAATGAACAGGGACAGTATTATACCCTCCAAGCATAGTAGGGCGGAGAGGAGGTGAAATCGGTGAAATGCAAGGCCTGTCAGGCCAAGAAGAAAGGCAGAGGAAAATGCAAAATGTGTGGGGGTCATTAGGCGGTTGCGGATTTAAACCACAAATTTTTGAGCCGAAATCAAATGTTTTTCTTAGACTAACTGCCTATTCAGCCCACTCTAGGCCTCCTTGAATTCATTCATAGATAAGACCCAAGGTGAGAAGAAAAAGGACTGCTGTGGCTCAGGTGAATGTCAGCAAGGGCGTAGGTAGCTGATCTCCTCAAGGAAGTGGAAGAAGGAGTGCAATTTCTAGATCGAAGAGGAGGAAGAGGATGGCGATGAGGAAAAATCGTAGTGAGAAGGGAAGTCGAGCAGAGCCCATGGGGTCGAAGCCGCATTCATATGGTGAAAGCTTTTCGTGGTCTGGTGAAATCTGCGGCAGTCAGAAGGATACAATGGCAAGAATTGTAGAAAGCAGGGCAGTGATTGTAATAATTGTCATAAGAAGGCTCATTATCTTTCCTTGGAATTTAACCAAGACCGGGTGATTGGAAGTCACTTATACTGCGCTTAATACTAGAAAGATTAAGATCCTCATCAGTAGATAGAGATATAAAGGAACAGTCATACAACGTCTACGAAGTGTCAGTATCATGCGGCTGCTTCGAACCCAAAATGGTGATTGGCCGTAAAGTGGTGGAGAATCTGACGTAGGAGGCAGACGGCCAAGAACGTCGAGCCGATTAGAACATGAAGTCCGTGGAAACCAGTGGCAACGAAGAATGTGGCGCCATAAACCCCATCTGCAATAGTGAAGGGGGCTTCGTGGTATTCAAGTGCTTGGAGGAACGTAAAGTAGCCCCCAAGAAGGATTGTGAGGAAAAGGGAGTGAATGGCTTGTTTCCGTTTACCCTCCATGATGCTGTGATGTGCTCAGGTTACTGTTACACCGGAAGCAAGAAGAACAGCTGTATTAAGTAAAGGGACTTCAAATGGGTCAAGAGGAGTGATGCCTGCTGGTGGTCAGAAACCACCCAACTCAGGGGTAGGGGCTAGGCTTGCATGATAGAATGCCCAGAAGAACCCTAAAAAGAAGAGGACTTCCGAGGTAATGAACAGGATTATCCCGTATCGTAAACCCTTTTGTACGGGTGGGGTGTGATGGCCTTGGAATGTGGCTTCTCGAACGACATCGCGTCATCACTGAAAGATGGTTAAAATAAGAAGAATTGTGCCAAGTGTTATTAGGGTTGTAGAGTGGAAGTGGAATCAAATAGCAAGGCCGGAGGTTATTAGAAGTGCAGCGATAGCTCCCGTGAGGGGTCATGGGCTGGGGTCAACTATATGGTAAGGGTGTGCTTGATGGGCCATTAGACGTTTTCTTGTAGGTAGAGGCTTAAGAGTAGGACAAATACATAGGCCTGAATTATTGCGACTGCAACCTCTAGGAGTGTAAGAAGGAAGAGGAGGGTTGCTGTTGAAATCGCGATTATAGGTATGATGGGGAGGAGAACAAAGGCGGCTGTAGCGATAAGTTGAATTAGGAGGTGACCTGCCGTCAGGTTTGCTGTGAGTCGGACACCAAGGGCAAGAGGGCGAATGAACAGACTAATTGTTTCAATGATAATTAAAACTGGGATCAGGGCTGTAGGGGTGCCTTCTGGCAATAGATGGCCTAATGCATGTGTGGGTTGGTTTCGTATACCGATAATGACAGTGGCGAGTCAGAGTGGGACTGCGAGGCCCATATTTAATGAGAGCTGGGTTGTGGGTGTAAAGGTGTAGGGGAGAAGTCCAAGCATGTTAATAGATAAAAGAAAGATTATGAGTGATGCAAACAGGGTCGCTCATTTGTGGCCCCCGAGGTTTAGTGGAAGAAGGAGTTGGGAGGTAAAACGGTTAATAAATCAGCCTTGGAGTGTGAGCAGTCGGTTGTTTATTCATCGACTAGAGGGGGTGGGGAATAATGCTCATGGTAAGATAATTGCAAGTGCAATAAGGGGAATACCCAGGTATACGGGGGATATAAATTGATCAAAGAAGCTTAGTATCATGGTCAGTTTCAGGATTCTGTTTTAGGTTTTTGTGTGCTTTGTGGGGTGGGTTCATTGGGGAAGGTATGGGCTAAGACTTTTGGGGGAATAATTGTCAAAAACACTATTCAAGAAAAAACTAGGATTATAAACCAAGGTGCGGGGTTAAGCTGGGGCATGCCACTAAGGGTGGTTGTTAGGCACCAATTTTTAGCTTAAAAGGCTAACGCTGGGACTTATTAGCTTCTTAGTGAGGCTTCTTCAATTATTAACGAAGACCAGTTTTCGAAGTGCTGAAGGGGGACTGCTTCTACAACGATTGGTATGAAGCTGTGATTAGCCCCGCAGATTTCAGAGCATTGTCCGAAGAACACACCTGGGCGGCTAATAATAAAAGTTGTTTGATTTAGTCGGCCGGGTACAGCATCTACTTTTACACCTAAAGCGGGGATTGCTCAAGAGTGTAATACGTCTTCAGCGGAAATAAGCACTCGGATGGGGGACTCAACGGGGGTCACTATCCGATGATCGGCTTCAAGGAGCCGAAATTGCCCGGGTGTAAGGTCTTGTGTAGGGGTTATATATGAGTCGAAGCCGAGGTCCTCATAATCTGTGTATTCATAGCTTCAGTACCACTGATGGCCTATGGCTTTGATTGTGAGGTGGGGGTCGTTGATTTCATCCATTAGGTACAAGATTCGAAGGGATGGGAGGGCAATAAGAATAAGAATGATAGCTGGGAGAACTGTTCAGATGATTTCAATTTCTTGGGAGTCTAGAACAAGTTTGTCCGTAAGTTTCGCTGTGACTATGGCAACAATAATATAAAGTACCATTGTACTGATGAGGATTACAATTATTAAGGCGTGATCGTGGAAGTGAAGTAGTTCTTCTATTAGGGGTGAAGCTGCGTCTTGAAATCCGAGTTGTGAGGGATGGGCCATTGTGTTGCAAGATACGCGGGGCTTTAACCCACGATTCTGCCTTGACAAGGCAGCGTTATAGAATTTTACTAGTATCTTGGGGTGGATTATAAGAAAGTGGCAGAGCGGTTATGCGATTGGCTTGAAACCAATTGATGGGGGTTCAACTCCTCCCTTTCTCGCTAGTTTAATGGGGCTCGAACGAATGCAGGTTCCTCGAATGTGTGGTAGGGGGGAGGGCAGCCGTGGAGTCACTCAACGTTTGTTGCGGTTATAAGGACTGATAGGACTTCTCGTTTAGCTGAGAATGCTTCTCAAATAATGAATAGGAACATAATTACAGCGACGAGAGACATTAGAGATCCAATTGAGGAGACCGTATTTCAGAGAGCATAGGCATCGGGGTAGTCAGAGTAGCGTCGGGGCATTCCGGCTAGACCTAGGAAATGTTGGGGGAAGAATGTTAAGTTTACTCCAATAAATATTACGCCGAAGTGAACTTTTGTTCATGTTGAGTGAAGTGTGTAGCCTGTAAATAGCGGGAATCAGTGGACGAAAGCAGCAACGATGGCAAAGACGGCCCCCATCGAAAGGACGTAGTGGAAGTGGGCTACTACATAGTATGTGTCATGAAGAACGATGTCTAGGGAGGAGTTGGCTAGTACGATCCCGGTCAGGCCCCCTACTGTGAAAAGGAAGATGAACCCGAGGGCTCATAGTAGTGGTGTTTCTCATTTAATGTTCCCTCCGTGAAGGGTGGCTAATCAGCTAAAAACTTTTACACCTGTTGGGATCGCAATAATTATTGTTGCTGATGTAAAGTAAGCTCGTGTGTCTACGTCCATACCGACTGTGAACATATGGTGGGCTCACACAATAAAACCTAAAAGGCCGATAGCCATCATAGCTCAGACCATACCCATGTAGCCGAAGGGTTCTTTCTTCCCTGAGTAGTATGCAACAATGTGCGAAATCATACCGAAGCCTGGGAGGATCAAAATATATACTTCAGGGTGGCCAAAGAATCAAAACAGGTGTTGGTAGAGGATTGGATCCCCTCCTCCTGCAGGGTCAAAGAATGTTGTATTAAGGTTTCGGTCTGTAAGCAGTATTGTAATACCGGCGGCTAAAACTGGCAGCGAGAGGAGCAGCAGGACAGCCGTAATTAGGACGGCTCAGACAAACAGGGGAATTTGGTATATTGTGACAGTTGTGGGTTTCATGTTAATAATGGTAGTAATGAAGTTGATAGCTCCCAGAATTGATGAAATACCTGCAAGGTGTAGTGAAAAGATGGTTAGATCTACTGAGGCTCCAGCATGGGCGAGGTTGCTAGCTAGGGGAGGGTAGACAGTCCACCCGGTACCGGCACCAGCTTCGACACCTGAAGAAGCCAGGAGAAGAAGGAATGAAGGGGGTAGAAGTCAGAAGCTTATATTATTTATTCGAGGGAATGCTATGTCTGGGGCACCGATTATCAGGGGGATAAGTCAGTTGCCAAAGCCTCCAATCATAATTGGTATAACTATGAAAAAGATTATTACAAAGGCGTGTGCGGTAACGATTACGTTATAAATCTGGTCGTCCCCTAGGAGAGCACCAGGTTGGCTGAGTTCTGCCCGAATGAGGAGGCTTAGGGCTGTCCCCACTATTCCGGCTCAGGCACCAAATACGAGATAGAGGGTGCCGATGTCTTTGTGATTGGTCGAGAAAAATCAACGTGTGATTGCCACAGGTAGGATGGCTGAGTTAAGCGGTGGATTGTAGCCCCATAGACAGAGGTTCGAGCCCTCTTCTTACCAAGCCCTGGGGTGTTACACGTTAGATTGCAAATCTAAAGAAGTAGGCTAGTCGCCTACCGGGGCTTTCCCCCGCCTATTAGCTGCCCAGTTAGGCGGGGGAAAGTAGATAGATGCTCGCTGGATTGGGCGCTTAGCTGTTAACTAAGAAGTTGTAGGATCGAGGCCTACCTATCTAGGAAGGCTTTAGCTTAATTAAAGTGTCTGTTTTGCATGCAGTTGATGTGGGATAACAGCCCGCAAGTCTTATCAGGGGCTGGGAGATTTTCACTCCCGCTTAGGGCTTTGAAGGCCCTTGGTCTTAATGCTATCCTAAGCCCCTTAGGTTGTTAAGAGCGCTAGGGTGGCAGGAGCTAGCGGGAGTAGTAGGGTGGCGGTTGTGCTTGAGATTGCGAGCGGAAGGGTTAGTTGAGGGGAGGAGAATCGCCACGGAGTGGTGCCGGTGAGGTTGTTTGGGGCTATTGTGAGTGTTATCGCGTACGAGAGTCGTAGATAGAAGTATAAGCTGAGGAGGGCAGTAAGGGCTGCTAGAGTGGCGAGGGTGGCAAGGTCTTGCTTTGTTAGTTCTTGGAGGATAAACCATTTAGGTATGAACCCGGTTAGAGGGGGAAGGCCCCCTAGGGAGAGTAAGACTAGTGGGATAAGAGCTGTTAGGATAGGCGTTTTTGTTCAGGAGATTGCGAGGGCATTAATGGTTGTGGCTTTGTTTATTTTGAAGATTAGGAATACTGAGGATGTTATAATGAGGTAGGTGATGAGAGCAAGAAGGGTGAGGAGGGGTGAGAACTGAAGGATAAGTATTATTCAGCCGAGGTGGGCGATTGATGAATAGGCAAGGATTTTACGGAGCTGCGTTTGGTTGAGGCCGCCTCACCCACCCACGAGGGTAGATGTGAGGCCTAAAATAATTAAGGGGGTGGGGTTGTCAAGTTGGATTTGTATAAGTAGTGCAAAGGGGGCAAGCTTTTGTCAAGTTGAAAGGATGAGGCCGGTTGTTAGGTCCAAACCTTGAAGAACTTCGGGGAGTCAGGAGTGTATTGGTGCTAGACCAATTTTCAATGCCAGGGCAATAATAATTATGGTTGTGGCGAGGGGGTGTGTCATTTGTTGGATGTCCCACTGGCCTGTGAGCCAGGCGTTTGTTATGCTTGCAAACAGGAGTGTGGCGGCGGCTGTTGCTTGTGTTAAAAAGTATTTAGTAGTAGCCTCAACCGCTCGAGGGTGGTGATGTTGCGCTATGAGTGGGATAATGGCTAGTGTGTTGATTTCTAGGCCCATTCAGGCTAAGAGTCAGTGTGAACTCGCAAATGTAATTGTAGTTCCGAGACCTAGACCAAGGAGAAGGGTGGTTAGGATAAAAGGATTCATTAGTAAAGGAAGGATTTGAACCTACATAGTTGGGGTATGGGCCCAAGAGCTTATTTAGCTGACTTTACTAGGAAGTGGTGTAGAGGAAGCACAAAGAGTTTTGATCTCTTCAGGTTGGGTTCGAGCCCCTTCTTTCTAAGGAGTTGGGGGGATTTTAACCCCCATAATTCACTCTATCAAAGTGGTCCTTTAAGTTCAGGCACAGCTCCTGATTACAGTTGCGGTGGAAGTCCAGCAAGTGCAGTGGGAAGTGCCAAGTGTCAAATAATCAGCGCTAGGGTGAGGGGGAGAAAGTTTTTCCAGATCAGGTGTATTAGCTGGTCGTATCGAAACCGGGGGTAAGAGGCCCGCACCCAAAGGAAAACAACTGAAAGAAGTGCCGCCTTGGTTATTAGATTAATAGCCGTCAGGGTCGCGATAGTGGGAATGTGTGAGGCGCCCAGGAATAAGACAGCGGATAAGGTATTTATCAAGAGGATGTTGGAGTATTCGGCTAGGAAGAATAAGGCGAAGGGTCCTCCTGCATACTCGACGTTGAAGCCTGAGACGAGTTCGGACTCTCCTTCGGTGAGATCGAAGGGTGCCCGGTTTGTTTCGGCGAGTGTGGAAATATACCATATTGCAGCTAGAGGTCATGCTGGCAAAACTAGTCAGACAGCCTCTTGGGCTGTGTTAAAGGTCTGAAGAGTGAAACCCCCTGTGAGGATGATGATATTAAGTAAAATAAGTCCTAGGCTGACTTCATAAGAGATGGTCTGTGCTACGGCTCGGAGTGCCCCAACGAGGGCATATTTTGAATTTGATGCTCAACCTGAGCCGAGGATAGAGTAAACTGCAAGGCTTGACAGTGCGAGGACAAATAAGATCCCCAAGTTAAGGTCAACTGTGGAGTATGGAAGAGGCATAGGGGCTCATAGTGTAAGAGCAAGAGTGAGAGCGAGCATAGGTGCTAAAAGAAAAAGGACTGGGGATGCGGTGGAAGGTCGAACAGGTTCTTTGATAAAAAGTTTAATACCATCAGCGATAGGTTGGAGAAGGCCATAAGGTCCGACGATATTGGGGCCTTTTCGGAGTTGCATGTAACCGAGCACTTTCCGTTCAAGTAAGGTGAGGAATGCAACTGCTAGTAGAACGGGTACGATTAGGGCCAATGGGTTGATAATATGGGTGATGAGTGTTGAAATCATAGTTAAGGAGAGGACTTGAACCTCTGTGGAAAGGGCTTAGGTCTTTTGCATTAGCCGGGCTCTGCCACCCTAACACGCCGTTATCTTCGGCACAGATGGTTATGCCCTTTTACCTAGTTTAGATTTTTTCATTAGGTGGGGGTGAGGCGTACTAAGAGCATGGGCCCCTTCTTTTCGGTCCTTTCGTACTAGAAAAGATCATCACATAGATAGAAACTGACCTGGATTACTCCGGTCTGAACTCAGATCACGTAGGACTTTAATCGTTGAACAAACGAACCCTTAATAGCGGCTGCACCATTAGGATGTCCTGATCCAACATCGAGGTCGTAAACCCCCTTGTCGATATGGGCTCTAAAAGGGGATTGCGCTGTTATCCCTAGGGTAACTTGGTTCGTTGATCGGCGTTGCCGGATCAGTTTGGTCAGAATTTCTGCTGATTAGAGCTGTCGCTCTAGCTTGTAGGAGGAGAGGAATGTAGGGGTGTACTCCTTTTCCACGTGGGGGTTTTGTGTTCCCCATGGTCGCCCCAACCGAAGACATCAGGGCTGGTTTCATTTAGTTCAGGGCCCTTAGCTGGGTGTATTTGACATGATCTGCCCTTGCGTCTAAAGCTCCATAGGGTCTTCTCGTCTTATGAGGTTATCCCCGCTTCTGCACGGGGAGATCAATTTCATTGACTGGGGGAAGGAGACAGCTAAGCCCTCGTTATGCCATTCATACGGGTCTTCATTTAAAAGACAAGTGATTACGCTACCTTTGCACGGTCAAAATACCGCGGCCGTTGAACTATGATGTCACTGGGCAGGCGGGACCTCTTATACTTGTGTCTTGCAAGAGGCGATGTTTTTGGTAAACAGGCGAGGCTTGGGGTATGTTTGCCGAGTTCCTTCTCCCCCCTTGGGTCTTTCCTCTGGGGCACACCAGTGTGGGGTTAACGGGGTTGTATTGGATGTTTTCCTAGTCAATCGATGACATTTTCCAGTTCCCTCTTTGATTGGGGCCGTTAAGAGTCGGTGGGGGGTCCGTTCCGATTTACACATGTGCGAGGAGAGAGTACTTAGTATTCTCTTATTACTCATATTAGCATGGTCATCCCTATGTTTGGCATAGGGGGGCTCGTTAAATTTAGGGGATTAAGATAAGGTTATCGGTATATATGGAGGTGTCTATGTCTGAGCTTTAACGCTTTCTGTTAAGGTGGCTGCTTTTAGGCCCACTAAAACATTTGTCCTTGATTGAGTATGATCTTTATCCTGCTGTAAAAGTTGTGTCTTGTTTCAAAGGGGCTGTACCCCCTTTGACTAACACCTCTAGTTTCTCGTTGCATCTGATGGGTAATAACAGTGCATGAGTGGGGAACCCAGAGGGCTGAACTTCTATCCAATTCACGGGCAACCAGCTATAACTGAGTTCGGTAGGTCTGTCACCTCTACTCAAAGCTCTTCCCACTCTTTTGCCACAGAGACGGGTTTGCCCTATAAATAGGCTGTCTTGGAGTAGCTCACTCAGTTTCGGGGTTACAAACTTTAAGTTCTCTTTGCTTGAAAGTGCTAGCTAAATCATGATGCAAAAGGTACGAGTTCTAATCTCTGCTTTATTAAGCTTTACTGGGCTATTTCATCTCTTTTTCAGCTTTCCCTTGCGGTACTTTTTCTATTGCTCCGGATTTCCTTTTTTATCGCCTGGACTCAGGTGGAAGAATGGTTTGGCTACGTGGGTGTTACGTGCTTTAGGGGTTATTTATATGGGTTTGTTAGGTGAAGGGGTTGGGCTAGCTAATGGGCGTCAGGGCGATCCGACTTGCACGGATGTCTTCTCGGTGTAAGTGAGGTGCTGGGTCTGGCTTAGCTACACCCTGATTTTTCCAAGTGCACCTTCCGGTACACTTACCATGTTACGACTTTCCTCCCCTTCGCGGGTTGTTGGTTTTAGTTAGTTTAGTCTTGTAGGGCTTGGGGAGGGTGACGGGCGGTGTGTGCGCGCTTTAGGGCCAATTTCAGCGGGACACTCTATTCCCTGCTTACTACTAAATCCTCCTTCAATTGCATGTTTCAATGCATTATTCGTATTTGCTAGCTTTAGCAAATGTAGCCCATTTCTTCCCCCCTCATTCACTACACCTCGACCTGACGTTTTGGGCTTTGCCAACTTTGCTTACTGTTAAGCCTTCACAGGGTAAGCTGACGACGGTGGTATATAGGCGGATGAGGCAAGAGAGGGTGAGGTTTAACGGGGGTTATCGGTTCTAGAACAGGCTCCTCTAGGTGGATGTTAAGCACCGCCAAGTCCTTTGGGTTTTAAACTAACGTTTGTAATTCCCGGGCGGATGTTGAGTGTAATGTACAATCGATGTTTAGGGCTAAGCATAGTGGGGTATCTAATCCCAGTTTGTTCCTTAGCTTTCGTGGGTTCAGGGTGAATAAGGCTACTTTCGTAATTGGGTTTCATACTCCCGGGTGCTTATAACAGCTTTGGGAGCGTTCGGCCTTAGTTTGGTCAACCCCCTAACCACCCTTTACGCCGCTGTCTGTCAACTCGGGCCTCTCGTATAACCGCGGTGGCTGGCACGAGTTTTACCGGCCCTCTTAACCTTAACTAAGTCAAGTTTGCACTTATGGCTTAATATTTATCACTGCTGAGTTCCCTTGAGGGTGTGGCTAAGCAAGGCGTCGTGGGCCAGATATGTCTGTGCCTGATGCCAGCTCCTTGTTCCCGAGCAGGGCGTTATGGGCATTCTCACAGGGGGGCGGATACTTGCATGTGTAAGTCTAGTTAGAGTCGACAGTAAAGTCAGGACCAAGCCTTTGTGCCTACGGGGCTTTCTAGGGCCCATCTTAACATCTTCAGTGTTATGCTTTAATTAAGCTACGTTAGC